TTTTGTCCGCTTCGGCGCCTCATACAGGAGTGGTCTTGTATCATCTTGTTACTTGTATATGTAAACAGAAGAATGAAGTTTTCTAAAATCCTCAATATTAAAACATTTTTCACGGAGATTCAAAGATCAATATCTGCTGAATTCGTGTTAAAAGCTATAAATAAACTGTCGTGTCTCTTCTGCTCAATATCAACAATTGTCTCTTCCTAGAAGCCCATCCCAGTTCTGACGTGCCGGAAGTTATGATACATTTAAACATGGAATCTTGGAACTCTAGGAATTTTGCCGGAATCTTGGAATCTCGGAACCTTTGTGCTTATGTATACTCGTTGTTATAGACCCAGGGGCGCACATAAGGGGCTGTGGGGGTGTTACACCCCCACCCCATAATAGCTAAAAGGTCCGACGTCCCAAACGAGCAACTTTGTCGGTTCCGATCGTCCGCTATAAACATTACGTAAAATGATTGTTTCGACTCCGTACCAAAAAATTAATAAACTTTGAAAGGTTATAAAATGCTTTTGCCAACACCATTTGAATCAGCATCTTTTCAAGCCCCGTTTACATGACAGTCATTTTGAGCACGGCACGCTTAAATTTTGGCACGTGGACCATTTTTGTGGGTACGGCACTCCTAATTTTTGTCGTGTAATCGCAAAATTCAAGGTTCGCTTACCCGACATTTTGCCGAGACCTTCTCGGCCCGCGTAAAATATAAGCCGGGGACCCAAAATTTATCACGCACTCACTTTGTTTCTGACATTGCTAAATAGTGGCTGTATACAGCTAAGAAATAGAAGCAAAATGTGGTCAGACGAAGCCAGAATAACTCTGATAAGTTTAGTTATAGAAGAAACTATCCAAGGTTTCTTTTGTACACCACAAAATGCGTTAAAATAAAGTATTTGCCGTTTTATCGATCTTTTCCATTTTAAATACTCTGGCCTGTCATTACAGAACAATAGCTTTGTTCTTGATCTCTCTTTTATTTGTGTTTAAGGGCTAGGCCAGTCCTGTCGCGTTTTGATTGTGACTATTGCAAGACCCATTCTTACGCGACGTATCATCGGTTTGTTTATGAAACCTAACCCATCTCAGGCGTGCCAAACACAATTTTTTAGAACAAAATGTTCATCGTGTAAACGCAACAGCGGGCTAAAAAGCGTGGGTCCGCGAGCCAAAATTTAAGCCCCCATGTGCAAAGTGACTGTCGTGTAAGCGTGCTTGAAGATGACATTTTCGACGATCTCTAGACTTCAAATTTACAAAATTTTCCCGCTCGGCGACAACCATGATGGCGCCTCGTGGCATTCAGCATTTGCACCTTTTATACAACCAACTCTCCTGAAGTATCACAGAGATAAACAAACGTAATCGTGGCAAAAATATTGATCGTAAATAGCTTGGTACACTAAGTTAATAAAGAAATGGCATTTCGCAAATTCGAAGATCAATACGATTCCCCTTAACTAGATTACACGTAAAATGTCAGTCCAAAAATATCTTACACCACAAAAAATATTTTGGGACGTGCGCTTCTGGACCTTTTTCCACTGCCTGAATAACATAACCAACATTCTTCTTCAACATATAGGTGAAAAATTTGTTTCGATTTGACCGTAAAGGATATCTTGAGTTGAAATATGTATTACATGAAAACAAGGCTCATGGGTCACGACTATGGTGGCCTATCGCTGCCTTAATTCTAAAGTTTCTGTCCATAATTTTAACAAAACATGACTTGTTCTTAATGTAAACTTGATAACTATAACTACTGTATATGTTTTTATATCTCATAACGCTAATGTTCTTCATGGTAATATGAAGGTCTAAATCTCTGTCTTTGCGGATAGTTTCTATGACCTCCTATTACATGTTGGTCACCGATTTCGCAAGGATTGTTTTCATCTGGTACATGCTCTATCTCTTCCTCATCAGTCTCGCTATCACTGTGCATATCTGCAATCAGATTAGATTTTCCAAGAAACTTGTTAAAATGTGAACAGTTTCTTGTTATCATATGATCAGCTCGGCTGGCTGTGATCATGGTACCTTTTATCTCTGTTACCTGGTATGGTAGTGGATCAAATCTTGGAGTTAGTTTATTGACTTTTGTTTGTCTAACTAAGACTTGGTCACCAACTTTGACATGAGGTTCCTTGGTAACACGGCGTTTATTTGCATAAGAGTTTCTCTTTTCCTTAGCTTCATAATAAGCTTTGTCAATTCCACTGTTGAGTCCCTTCATGTCACAAACGGTAGAGGGTATAGAAGGTAATTTGGTGCGGATTGTACGACCAAATAAGGCAGTGGCAGGTGCCACCTTGGTAGTAAGATGAGGTGTTGCTCGATAATTGAGCAAAAATTGATACAGTTCTGTCTTCCAATCTTTTTTTTTTCAATATAAGTAGTTTGAATGCACTTTTTAAGTGGTTTCATGAAATTTTCTGCCTCCGCATTCCCTTGAGGGGGGTTATCTTCCGGTGATTGATCTTATTTTGTTGCATGTATGATTTAAGCTCATAGCTAGTGTGGTCCATTGTCTGTAATAATGGTATTCGGTAAACCGTTTCTCGAAAAAACTTTCCCAAATGCTCTTATTGTTGATTCAGCTGTAGTACTTCGAACAATATCAACTTCTGGGTATCGAGTACGACCATTAATGATCACTAGAAGTAGACAACTTTTTGGAAACGGTCCCAAAAAGTCAACATATATTGTGTCCCAGGGATTTTTTGGAATTTCTATAGTGCACAATGCATGGGGCAATATTCTTTGGCATGCCAACACTTTGATATGCAAGACACTTTTCTATCGATGTTTTAACTAAGTTGTCTATTCCTGGAAACCAGACTTTTTCTCTAATTAATTGTTTTGTTTTAATTAAACCTTGATGACCCTGATGTGCGAAGTCTACAGCTTGTTGTCGTATCTGCTTGGGAATGACAACTCGGTTCCCCCGCAAGATGATACCTAATTTTGATGAAATTGACAATTCATTTCGGAGTTTTTAGAATGAGTAAAATACCAGTCCGTGCATTTAAATATGATATGTCTTCATGAGTTTGCTTCGTTTTTAAGAAACACACTTTATATAAACGCATTGATATTTAAAATACCAATCCGTGCATTTAAATATGACATGTCTTCATGAGTTTGCTTCGTTTTTAAGAAACACGCTTTATATAAACGCATTGATATTTAGAACACCAGTCCTTGATGCATTTAAATATGATATGACCTCATGAGTTTTCTTCGTTTTTAAGAAAAACGCTTTATATAAACGCATTGATATTTAAAACACCAGTCCGTGCATTTAAATATGATATGACTTCATGAGTTTGCTTCGTTTTTACTAGAAACACGCTTTATATAAACGCATTGATATTTAAAACACCAGTCCTTGCATTTAAATATGATATGACTTCATGAGTTTGCTTCGTTTTTAAGAAAC